CATTTACGATTTCTCTTATGACCAACTCTATTGGCTGTGATATTCTTTCATCATAGAACCGTATGGTGTCAAGAAATACAAGTGGATCCATTTTATAATTGAAAGTAGTCGTTCCCGTCTATGATGACTGCTGTTGACCTTTTAATTCAATTTAATTTAATTTAACCAATGATAATGGTAATTAACCAAAGACAAAGTATTTTATAATCTCCTCCTATTTTTATATCGATGGACAGCCGAGCGATTGCTTTTCAGATTGTTGTTTCGAATATTGGGCTTTAGTTTCTAAGAGTATTAAACTGCGTATTAAAAATCTTGTTTTATTTGCCTGTTCCACAAATAAATCTCTTGCATAGTAATTTCTCATTGTATTAATAGCTTGAGCAGCGAACCTGGTGATCAACTCATTTAAATTTACCACTAAAATAATTTTTCATGTTGTGAATTTGCTGAAAATATTTAAAGAGAAACTAGCCGTCAAATAAGCGTTATCATCAACACCGCCATCATTAACACTATTATCGCTATCATCATTATTATCATCCGCATCATCCACGTCCTCCTCCTCCCAATCACACTTGACGCATCCTATATCATTTTCCACAGAGTTATATGCACAAACACATTTGTCAACGCATGATCCATTGAGCTTTGAAAATATTTCGAGTACCATATTTTCTCCACAGCTGCTACCAACCAAACGACATCCAGAATCATTTATCAATTCGTTTAGCATATATATTTTTTTCTTGAATGGTAAATAAACAAAGTAAATATTAAATAAATATAATATTAAATATTATCATATACTGATCACTTGAATATAAATGCCTGACAAACGCTGGGTGGTTAATCGTATTTATTCATTTATATATTATATATTTCCAGAATATTTTTGCTGGTTAAATCATCTAATTTAAAAACTCTAAACTAAAGAAATATTTATCATATCGCGGAATTCTTCGAATAAATATTTTCTGCATAAAAATTTCCTTTCTAAAAATTTAATTTAAGCCTTTCTAAAAATAACATTTTCTATAAGATTAAAGATTTATTTCAACAGTTCAACAATTTGTCGATTCAAATTTCCTTTCCAGAAATCCTTTCCAAATGTTATCCATTATTTCTGGCATGGGCAACTGTTGATTAATCTCTTAAGTCATTTGGGCGGTCAGAGGGTCAGTAAAGATGTAGCGAGTCGCAATAGTCAGCCATAGGGTTTCTAGTTATAATGGCAAGGTTACTGTTACTGTTATGCAACAAAATGCAACAAAACTCCATACTGCTCACTCTCATGGGGATAGGATGGCTCAGTGTGTTGTTGCTCAATTGGGAGCGTCGATGCTGAGGTTCGATTCCCCGCAGGGGTGAACCTGTACAAAAATCCGGGTGATGTTGATTTGTATTTCTATCACCAAGAGATTCCATGGCATATTGCATTACCCAGTGCGACAAGCCAATGGAGCGAGTTTGACCAGTAATGGTGAGGACTCTTTAAAAAAACTGCTCATTCTCGGTTAAAATACAAATACTATAATAATTAATAGAAATTTCCTCAAATGCATCTCACAATTTTAGCAAATATTTATTCAGAAAAATTAACTTGCAAAGTTGAATTTGCACTTCTAATGCATTGTCCATCAATTTCTGAGAGTGTTTTATCAGCGCATGAACAACGTTGGACACATTTTACAGCCACGATTGAAGCTATTGCTTTCCGTTGCATTGTGCGGAATATCATATTTTTACCACAAGCGATGTCAGTCGATAAGCATCCAAAATCATCGAAAATTTGGCCAAGTTCAAAAACTTTCACTTGCGAAACATCGGCAATAGAATATTGTAAGATTGCCTAAATTAATTCATTTATCCGACGGTGATTTGATGATAGCTATTCTCATTTTATAATGTTCACGTTATATTTAATTGCTAATTAGTTCGTTTGGATTCATCCGAGGGAGATAATTTCACTAGCGCATTAAAGAATAGAATTAAACTTGGTCCCTAACACCAATGAAGAACATTAAGAAAAAGAATATTAAAGAAAAAATTTAAAAGTTTTAAAAGAGAAAAAAAGTGCCTCGTTACAATTATCAAAATCATTATGATTATTCTTAAAAAAGCTTACCAAAACCATTGATCTAAACAGCATGATTCTGTTATCAATATCATAATAATTGATAAACTAATTTTTTTTGATTTTATTTTCGCTGGTTTTCCATATATTTTAACACAATCAACGAATCGGCTCAAAATTTTCAAAAATTCAATGCTAAAATCCATGTGATATTCTATGAATATGCAATGAACATTGTTTTTTTATTCTTTTTTAAATAGTTTTCACCATTGTTTGTTATACTCGCTTCGCTGGACTGGATTGCATTGGACAAATATGCCAGAGGGTCCCTTAGCGATAGAAATACAGGTGAGTCGCCAGCATCATCCAGATTTTTGGACAGGTTTTCTCTCATTGGAAATATTATTTTTTTCTGCACTTTGAATTTCGTTGAACATTGAATTTCAATTCATTAAAATTTGTTTTTCGAATACAATGCCACATGGAATCAGAGCATTTTCATTAATTTAGAACCGCTGATTTTCTTCACCAACTATCTTTCACCAAAACGGTTTTAGTTGACTTTTTCGAATTTTTTGAGTAATTAATGGTTTCTGAATGTGATAATAAATATCGTGAATTGTTCCCATCCATACAAAATATATACTAAATGGAAAAAAAAAGCGCAGAAGTCGAGTAGCATTTTGTTAAGGATTCTTGTATCCCTATTCTTTATCAGAAATAAAGCCTTTACATTCATTAAATTTGCTATATAGTAAGTGGTCGCTTGTTAAAGGTGTCTGCCGTATATAATAATATCGCTATTTGTTTTGATCAACCCATCCATATATTAATTAGCTCCTTCCCTTATTATAATACCAAATCGCATTATAAATTTTCTTCCCTGAAAAAAACGAAGAATTTAGTTGTGGCAATGATTCGATGGCTGTGGAAAGCCTATCGTGGAACTAAGATTAGAGATCTCTCTCTGCAAACAGCGTGAAAAATGAGAATCAACAGAAAATATTTTATAACCATCAAGGAAATAATTGGCTATCGATCTTTTGATTTTACTTTGGACGATAGTAATAGTCGAAAAATGTAATGAGATATCTGATGGCCAAACTAACTGGTTTCAATAAAGGAGAAAGAATTCTTATTCTCGCGATAATAGTGCACGAAATGTCTTTTGAAGAAAAACAATAAATGAATAATTTTCCTTAATTAATGGGCTATGAAATTTATGAAAGAATAGCAATCAGCACTATCTAGTTTGGCTGGTTTGGGCCATCTTTCCATTGCAAAGGAAACAGAATTGGGTCCATAGCACCAACAGGACTTCATCTTTAAAGACATGCGATTACCACTATGGAAAAAATCGTTGCAATTGTGGATTGATCTTTCTATTTGCAAGCTTGAACTAAAGTATCAAGACGGATCCAGAGAGCCAAGCGATATTCGTTCACGTTCCTAGTTTCTCCAAAAATCTTCATACATATATCGTATATCCTCATAAATATCATACGTCCAAGACGCAGAATGCTGTCTTTTCAGAGGAGAACTACTCGTTATATTTTTTTGTATTTCAGGATGAAATCAACTTGCCATGGCCACAGCCAAAAAGGCTTGATAAATGAATGATAATCCTGTATCATCCTCTTTAACGAATATTCTGCAATGTTGCGGTCGCGAATATATAATATATTCCATATATAATATATTCGCGAATAATATATTATATTCCATAAATTTCATTTCATAGATATATTCCAATCGGAGATTTAAATTAAATTAACTAGTAAAATAGCTTTGATAGGCGCATCAACGGAGTATAATGGGACCCAATGATGCAGTTACAGGATTATCATTTCTTTCTTTGAACTCATTTTTATATATCTGATCAATTAAGCCAATTGTTATTTATTATTGATAATAAAAAAACACTGGAATGATTGAATAGCAATTTGTTCATAAAACACCAAATACATTCGACGCAGTCGGATTTCTATCGCTAAGGGATTCCCTGGCATATTACTCAATGGAAAGCCAGTGGAGCGTGTTTAACCAGTAATGGTGAGGACCTTTAAAAAAATATTCGATGCAGTTATCGACATGAATAGCGCGATGATTTCATTAAACATGCGAAATTTTTTATTTTCTTTCACCGTTTTTTGACTTTTTTCTGTAAAACTAAGCAAAATGTCTTAACAATAAGAATTCTCATGGAAATTGATATGTTCGATTGAGATTCCATGTTATTCTTCTTTTATCCTCCCTTATTAATTCAGACATTTTTCTTTGCTCCTTTACTCGAAATGCGGATTAAGGGGTCGATTTGTTTGGCTTTAATAATAAAAATAAATGGCTGACCTATTTGCTATCAACCGCCTCGTTTAAGAATGTCATTCTAAATTATAAAACAGAATTGGTGCCTTTAATAATAAGAATAAGAAACCATTTTGAAGAATACAGAAACGATAAAACAAAAATTATAAATTTTGCATGCAATCACCAGGTTCCGCCAAAATACAGCTACAGCGTTCGATACATCCCTTAATATTTGGATCGTGTTCGGTAGAAAATTCTTCAACAGCAATAAATTTCTTATTGATTCCACATTCATGATTTCTTAAACGACAACCGAGATCAGAAATTTCTTCGCCAAGATGGTATTCATTCCCTATATACATCTGCAAATTGTTTCTAAAATTAACGTTGAACGCATATTCCCTATACAAAAAATGTATAAAAAAAAAAATAAAAAAATATAAATATACAAAAAAATGGAAGAAATATATTTATTATTATATTTACTACATATAAATATGTAATAAAAAGCAGAATAATGAGAATAATGAAAGAAATAAGAAGAAATATACAAAAAAATACAATACTTTAAAATCGTGCATTCCATTAGTAATGGCATAAAGCGAAGTGGTACTCGATAAATCACCAGTGGTACCTTCCTTTTCACAACCAGAATTTCTTTCAGAGAAGTCAGAATTTATGCAACTACATCTCTGTGTGCAATAAATCAAATATGTTATATTATGAACTGTACTATTGACCACAAAAAATATCATATTTTTTCCACATTTTTCTCCAGTCAAATGGCATCCTTCATCACGAATTGTCATCCCAACTTCGCAACTTTTTTCCAAGCACTAAAATTATTTCCATTAGTTTTCTTACAAAGCAAACTATGAGCAAACAATTGTTTATTTTACAATTGTTTATTATACAAAAGAAGCAAGGCTTAATTTTGAAACTCACGATATTCCTTGTTCTTCTGCCATGTTGTCTCGTTTTTTCATATTGTTCAATGCATTGGCCATTTTCTTCCTCATAGCCCTCTGCACATTTGCACTGCACAATGCAATGTCGGTGCTCGGATTGGTCGATTAAAACGAGCATCGTATTCTGTCCACAAAAGCGGCCATTTAGTGAACAACCAATGTCATGGACTATTTCATTAAGCGTGCATCCTTCTCGCATACAAGTAATTCTTTTCTTCTAAATGTTTAAATCTTAAGCGTTTTTCTACTGTTTCATTGCAATATATGATGGGTTACAAATAAACATAGCATTTTGTTGAGCATCAAGTTTTTTTTGTTCGAATTGAATTGCATCTCGTCAAGTGGATTTTTTCTAAATAGTTCTCACCATTACTGGTTAAACTTAATGCTTATCGCACCAGATAAATAATTAGGAAATTCCCTGGCGATAGCCCGGATTTTTGAACAGATTTGCTCCTGCATTGTCATATAACCTCTTGCATATAATTTATGAATGTTACAGGCCAAGTGATCACTATCCACAGCCTGTCTAAGTATCGTTTCAATATCGCCTGCTTATCGGAAGTCCGTCTTCCTCACTTTGGGTCTCGAGCAATTATTAATCCAGGCTCGGATCAGAGGTACTGGCTATATCAGTGTGATGCTTCGGATAACGCGGGGCAAAATGGTGTAGCGATTGTCATATCTGACAAGGCCCATTCAGCTTTTATTGAGTGGAAACCAGTAAACGACCGTATGGCCTATGCCCTTTTAAAGGGTAATTTATGCAATATCTCGGTTATCAATGTCTATGCTCCAACTCTGTCGGCAGATGACCGTGATAAAAATAAATTCTGCGGAACTATTAACATCTCTACTAATAACTATTAACAACTATTAACATCTCTATCGAGGGGTGACATGGTTATTCTCGGGAGAGACTGGAATGAGCGCATAGGTCATGATGCCGTTTCGATGAACTCAATGATTGGCAAATATGCCATCAGAATGCAATGCGCCAATGGAGAATGTCTTCTCCATTTTGCTAAAGAGCATGAACTCTTTGTTAAATACATGCTTTCAGCATCAGAGGAAACATCTAATCACGTGGAACTCTCCGGACAACCAATATTCCAATTAGATTGACTATATATTAATCAGTAACCGCTGGAAGAGAATACTATACTAGATAGTCATTCTTATCGAAGCGCTGAAACTGGTAACCGCCATGGATCATATCATGTTATGGTTCGAGCCAAAATTCGTATAAAACTTTCGTAATAACTTTCGTAACATTCGTTAAGCGCATTTCAAACCGCATTATTACAACACCTCAGTGAAATGAATGTCAATGACATGACATGACATCTCTGGAACGGCAAATGAACTGGTCCCAACTAAAGAAATGCCTACAAAAGTCAGCCATTTCCACATTAGGGTATAGTAGTAGGAAGTGTATTAATTGGTGTCGGAAGCAATTGTCCAGCTATCTGAAAAAGTTGCAAAGCCCGAATATCAGGAGATCCTGAATATCGGGTGCTTTGAAGAATTACAACAACAGCAGCACGGCGGGATAGAAATCGCTATTGAAGCGACATAGCCTTGAAAATGGAGTCGGCGGCTCGGATAGGATAGGTGATAATAGGAAACTATTTCGCCTTCTCCGCAAAGAAACTATAACTCGATAAGGTGTCAGTGAAATGGTACGGGATATTAATGGGTTGCCTATTAAAGTCTGTTAAGGATCGCCTCAGATAATGGAAAGAATTTTTGAGGCCAAACTTAACCACGACGCACCATCTTTTATCCCGAATATAACTGATTTGCCCGTCGAGCCTTACGTTTGCAATTGTGAATCGCCAACAGAAGAGGAAATACTCTCTGTAATCCATGAGCTTAAAGCTAATATTCCGGAGAAGATGGTCTTCGGGCAGAACTTTTCAAATGTTGTCCAACATCGTTCATTTTTTTGAAGAGTCCTCACCATTACTGGTTAAACTCGCTTCACTGGCTTGTCGCATTGGGCAATATGCCAGAGAGTTCCCTGACGATAGAAATACAGATGAGTCGCCAGCATCACTCGGATTTTTGCACAGGTTTACTGCTGCGGGGAATCGAACCTCAGCATCGGCGCTCCCAATTGAGCAACAACCCACTGAGCCATTCTGTCCATCATCGTTCATAACTCACCTTCAATAAATGTATTCTCTGGTATGGCAAAAAGAAATAATACCAGAAGATTGGAGCAAAGTAATTCTGCTTCCCATTCTTAAAAAAGCTGATAGAATGTACTGCGACAATTACCGAGGAATCAGCCTACTTAACATCTCCGGAAAAATCTTCGCTTTTCTTCTGCTTAATAGATTTATGACAACGTGAGATAGTAGGATACGCCCTAGCCAAGCTGGATTCAGACTGGGATGGTTGTGCTGACCAGATATTTACGCTAAGAAGGGTGCTGGAACATCGCTTCAAATACCAGCAACCCACCGTCACTTGCTTTATCTATTTTTAGCTGCTTTCGATTCGAAGCAGCGCTCTGGAACATGATGGAATGTGACTGCGTCCCAGAGAAGATGATTCGGCTCATGAAGGCATTTTACCAGCATAACCTGGCGCAAGTCTTTATATATGGGGAACCGACAGATTCCTTTGAAATAAAAACTGGTCCCCGTAAAGGATGCGCCCTTTCCCCCACAATATTCAACTATGCGATAGACCAGATAATGGGCACCGCTTGTCTGCACTCAAGAGGTGTGAAAATCAGTCTAGAATATAGCATCACAGACCTAGAATACGCTGATGATGTAGTCCTTTTTGCTAACACTTATGAGGAAATGCAAATAATGTTAAACAATGTGTCAACAACTGCAACGAGAATTAGACTCAAAAGCAATATAAATAAAACGAAAGTATTTTCGTCTTATATACAAGATGCTGATAAAATACCTATTTTCATCAATTAAATGCCCGTTGGGGAAGTGCTAAAATTAGTACCTTGGATCCACTCTAATCCCAAATGGCCAGGCAATGGATGAAATCGTAAATCAGATAACGGCAACTAAGATTATATTTTTCCGGTTGATAAAACAGTCGCGAAAACACCATAAAGACGAAAATCCGTGTCCATATAGCTGTAATTCGCTCGATCTTGCAATATGGTTGCGAAACATGGCCAATCAGAATGGAAGATATTAAATTATTAGCTATTAGTCTTTGACCACTTATATTTTACAGATCATGGTCTAAGGTACATTCTATACGGATCCGCCGAGCAAATAAAATCGCACATGATTATATCCACCTTCGCTCAAATGCCATCTTCATTAGTGTTATTACAGATCATCGCCTTCGCTGGTAGGGCACGTTCTTCGTCGTCCACCACAGGAGTTGACGCATATTTCGCTATTTGCTAAACCCTGTGATGGATGGTGTCAAAGGCGAGGTGGGCTAGTCAAGACCTGGACTGATACAGTTAGGAAAGTTTGGACATATAGGAGGACCAGCAGACGATGAAAAAAGGAATTAAGGAGCTTCTATTATTACTAGCGATGACATCGGACCGGGCGGCTTGGAGACGTCTTACTCTTAGCGTAACCAACGGAGCCAGCCTAATCAGTAATGAGAGCTAGAAAAAGAAGCATATAACCTCAGCATTGGATAACTTATCGAGTCATTCTATCTCCCACGTGGACCGATTAATCAGGTTAAATGTGGAAAATGTTATTGCAATTATATTTAAATATTTTAAAAAATAAAATCATTCCAGTTGAGAATTCCTTAATCGAATCAGCAATTTACAATATTATTTTATTATTTCAGAAGAAAGAAGATAGTTTTAAAAGCTCACAGAATTCTTTCTTTTGCTGTTTCTCACATATTCTCTGATGCATTGGCCATTTTCTTCTTCAAATCCTTCTTCATATTTGCATTGTACAATACAGGAAATATGATTACGGTACGTGGATTGTTTGATTAAGGCGAATTTCATGTTTTGTCCACAGAATTGATCTTTTAACGAACAACCGTTATCTTGCACTGCTTCATTAAGCGAGCATCTGCCACGCATGCAATTCATCCTCTCTTTCTAAAAATAACTATTGACCTTAACTTTATGGCAATATATATATATATATATATATATGATAAAAGGAAAAATATTTCGAACTCGAATTCACCTCGTTTTTGGCTATTTCAGTGCATCGATTGTTCGTTTCAATATACCCATAGGCACATTGACATTGCATGACACACTTCCAACTTTTGCTCTTACGCGAAGGCCTTGTATCAATTACACCCAGTTCCATATTTGGTCCACATGAACGTCCTAATTGTGCGCAGTCCAACTCGTGAAATATTTCGTTGAGCTTGCATGTTCCACTTTGAATACATCTCATTTCATTCTCCTTCCTCTTAAAACGATGTATTTAAAATTTCAGTCTCGATCTTCTTCTTTTTAGATATAATTGGATATAATTTTAAGCATCAGGTTCGACAAACTTTCTCAATTTTTCCGCTGGAATTTTTAACAACTACTGGGTAATTGAGAAGTCGTGTAGGCTTAGAAGCAGAAGCTATTCCTGACGATCGATATCCTTTCATGGAAATACCTATAGTTTCATTATTTTTTCTATTGCACTCAATTCGGTTTTTTTATGATTAAGATTGTGATAACCTTTTTTAATGCTTTCCTTAGGCTTTTTGCACACTCTGAATTAGTTTTTGCGACACATTCTCCATTTTTTTCTTTTGAATAGCGGTCACATACGCATTTTTGGATACAATAAGCGCTTTTCACATGATTGATGGTTTCGAAGAGCATATTAATGCCACAGGTTTGGCCACTTATAATACATCTTTTATCATAAATCCTTTGGCCCAATCTATAGGTTTGCGTAGGATAATAAGAAGTGGCCTGAAGAAAATTCTTTTAAAAGAAAATTGAAAAGGTTGAGAAATTTAATGCCTTCACCATTTCATTCTACAGTAATAGGTCAGTACATAAAATATATTGCTTCTATCGCAAATCCTATAAAATTTACAATGATTTCTCTTATCACTGCAATTGAGCTCCTTAATCATTCAATCATTTACGATTTCTCTTATGACCAACTCTATTGGCTGTGATATTCTTTCATCATAGAACCGTATGGTGTCAAGAAATACAAGTGGATCCATTTTATAATTGAAAGTAGTCGTTCCCGTCTATGATGACTGCTGTTGACCTTTTAATTCATTAACCAATGATAATGGTAATTAACCAAAGACAAAGTATTTTATAACCGCCTCCTATTTTTATATCGATGGACAGCCGAGCGATTGCTTTTCAGATTGTTGTTTCGAATATTGGGCTTTAGTTTCTAAGAGTATTAAACTGCGTATTAAAAATCTTGTTTTATTTGCCTGTTCCACAAATAAATCTCTTGCATAGTAATTTCTCATTGTATTAATAGCTTGAGCAGCGAACCTGGTGATCAACTCATTTAAATTTACCACTAAAATAATTTTTCATGTTGTGAATTTGCTGAAAATATTTAAAGAGAAACTAGCCGTCAAATAAGCGTTATCATCAACACCGTCATCATTAACACTATTATCGCTATCATCATTATTATCATCCGCATCATCCACGTCCTCCTCCTCCCAATCACACTTGACGCATCCTATATCATTTTCCACAGAGTTATATGCACAAACACATTTGTCAACGCATGATCCATTGAGCTTTGAAAATATTTCGAGTACCATATTTTCTCCACAGCTGCTACCGACCAAACGACATCCAGAATCATTTATCAATTCGTTTAGCATATATTTTTTGTTTCTTGAATGGCAAATAGATAAAATAAATATTAAATATTATCATATATTGATCACTTGAACATAAATACATGGCAAACGCTGGCTGGTTAATCGTATTTATTCAATAATATATTATATATTTCCAGAATATTTTTCCTGGTTAAATCACCTAATTTAAAAACTCTAAACTAAAGAAATATTTATCATATCGCGGAATTCTTCGAATAAATATTTTCTGCATAAAAATTTTTAGCCTTTCTAAAAATAAAATTTTCAACAAGATTAAAGATTTATTTCGATAGTTTATCAATTCAATTTTCCCTTCCAGAAATCCTTTTCAAATATTATCCTTTATTTCTGGCATGGGCAATTGTTGATTAAAGCCATTTTAAGCCATTTAGGCTTAAGCGACTTTTTAATCAGAGGGTCAATAAGGAAGTAGCGAGTCAGTCGCAATAATCAGGCGTAGGGTTCCCAGTTATAATGGCAAACTTACTGTTACTGTTTTTATGCAACAGAACTCCATACTGCTCACTCTCGATTGAAATGTAAATATATAAAAATTTATAGAAATTTCGTCGAACACATTTCACAATTTCAGAAAAATTTATTTACTTGAAAAGTCGCATTTGCATTCTTATGCATTGTCCATCAATTTCTGAGAGTGTTTTATCAGCGCATGAACAACATTGGACACATTTTACAGCCATCTTTGAATAAGATATGGTTCCTCGTTGAATTGTGCGGAATATTATATTTTCACCACAAGCGGTGTCAGTCGATAAGCATCCAAAATCATCGAAAATTTGGCCAAGTTCAAAAAATCTCATAAAAGGAACGGCAATAGAATATTGTAAGATTGTCTAAATTAAATCGTTTAAGCGATGATTCAGTGGTAGATAATTTCATTTTTTTAAAATTACGCTAAAATACTAAACAGTTTGCCCGTCTGCAATAAGCTTATTTCTTCAGCGCTTACAAATAAAATTCGACATTAAAACCAACCGGATAGAAATAGAATATTAAAGAAAAATTTAGAACAGTTTTGGGTTAGAAAAAAGTTACCCCGTTGCAATTACAAGTATTATGATTATTCTCTTAAAAAAACATACCAAATCGATAGTACCAAACAGCATAATTCCGTTATCACTATCATAACAACTGATAAACTATTTTTTTCGATGATTTTCTATATATTTTAATATAATCGACAAATCGGCTCGGAATTTTCAATGCTAGTGAAATCCATGAGATATTCTATTAATATGCAGTGCAATATTATTTTTTACCTATAAGTGAATTTGTTTTCCGAATATAAGGTCGCATGGAATCACTGTATTTTCATTAGTTTAAAATCGCTGATTTTCCTACATCAACTATCTTTCACCAAAACGATTTTAGTCAATTTTTCGAATTTTTTGAGTAATTAATGGTTTCTGAGTATGCTAATAAATGTTATGAATTGTTCCTATCTATAATCTGCTCTGCCGCATATAAAATATATGCTTAATGGAAAGATAAGTAGAAGTCGAGCAGCGTTTCACTAATGGGCAGTATAATTCCATTATCTCCACTCTGTCAGAAATAAGGCCTTTAAATTTGAGGGATATATTGTGAGGGATCACTTGTTGGAGGTGCTCTGCCGTATACAATATTAATATTCTCGGTATTTTCTTAATAGTATCGGTATCTTCGATCACCCATCTATATATTAGCTCCTTCCTTATACTACCAAATCGAATTATAAAGTTTCTTTATGGTTCCGAAAAATAAGAAGGAAATTTATGGTAGAGATAGAAATGAATGTACAAAAACTATCGAGGAAGAAGATCTACAATCTATAAGCACCATGAAGTATGAAAAAATGTTTTATTTATTTATCTATTGAAAAGCAGCCTAGCAGGGCGATACAACGCCATACAACAATTAAAATGACAAATGACAAAAATTATTAATAATATAATGTAAAAATTATAAATATATAAAAATTAATAATAAAAAAAAGATATGTGAAAAAATTACCAATTTAACGAGGAAATAAAGAGGAATCGGAATCTGCAGAATAATATAATATAGTACAATTCAAAGTAACTGTATACAATCGGATGGTGAAATTCGAGATTTCACACTTGCAGCATGTGAATTTTTTAGATAATATAATAAATGATATTATCTAATTTTTTTTAAAAGATAGCTAGGGATGGCGCATAAGCAATATCGTTCGGTAATTTATTCCAGTAATTAATAGTACGAATAAAGAAGTCATGAGTATCTAGTTTAGTTTTGCATAAGTCTTAATAATTTTAGCCTAAAGTTATAATATTTTATCAATAGGAAATGTTTTATGTTTTATAAGGAGAAATTGTCATTTCTTGATGACAATAACAGTCCAAAAATGCAATAAGACATTTGACACTGATGGGAATCAGAAATTCAATCAGAACCAAACCAAGATCAGAAATTTCTTCACCAATATTATATTCTTTACTTACATACGTCCATAAATATTTTTAAAGTTTTCCTTAAATAATAACTCAATGTTCTTATAGCATTATATTTCAATAGCTGAATAGTTAGATTTCAATAGCTGAAATTCCAACAATTTGGTGCAAAAAGAAAAGACATAGAAAAATATAACAAATGGGACGAAACAAATTAACGGAAATAATGAAAACAATAAAAAGGGAGCATATAGAAAATACTTTAAAATCGTGAAATTGCAGCAGTGGTAATCGTGTTGCGCGAGGTGGTGGCAATCGGTATATACAATCAGTGGTACTTATTTATTTGCAACGAGATGTTTTTTCACCAACATTAGATATCATCCAACTGCATCGTTGTGTGCAATAAATCTCATATATTCCATCATGAATTGTATTATTAAGCACCATGAATATCACATTTTTTCCGCAATTTTTTTCAGTCAATGGCATCCTTTATCATGAATTGCCACCGCCACTTCACAGCCATTTTCCAAACACTAAAATATGCTATTAGTTTAGTTAATTTTTACTGGTGAAATATTTCGCATAAAATTTTCTAAAATGAATAATCTAATGAATAATTCCTTTATAGATTTTGCTAGAATCTGTTTCGAGAAATCGCATAAGCTGCAGCAGCTTTCATTAAAATTTATAAAATAAAGCGAATAAAGTGATTGTTTAAAAATTTATCTAAGAGAAAAATTCTTGAGAAATGATTTTTTACCGTCTAAAATTGCTCAGTAACTCTATAAAATTGCCTCAGTTTACCGAACTAGTTTTCGTCCACTACAGTTCACGAGGTCCAAGAGGCTTCCTAGCAAAGCGAAATTCTGAGTTGTTGCTGCTAATCTCATTCATCTCATTCATCTTTTGCTGCTTTAGCGCATGTATAATGCATTAAATTCCTTTCTTACGATATACTTCAACTAAATAAAAGTTTCCAAATTGTTTTGAATTTTTGAAATCCATTTGATTGTGATACTATATGAATATTAATTTTCTATAATTTTATATATACTGATTAAAATCGACTGATTAAAATCGACTGATTATTTCCGCGAATTTTGTATGGAATGATTATTTTTTGTATGGAATAATGTTAAGCGCCAATTTTTCTATGGAGCATAATGTGTTGATAAAAAAACGGTTCAGTAAACCAAGCGAAAGCCAAAGATATTATTTTCGCAATTAATGGGCCTCCCCAATTATTATGAAAGAAATAATTGATGCATTTTTCTCGCTCTTGGCCATGCAAGCTATATATTTAAAAAAAATAGGCTCAAAATTTAAGCTCAGTTCCACAGTTACTGGGAAATGGCTCAATCATAAATCTTTAATAGAAATATATCTTTTAATGAAAGAAATCAAGAGAACAAGGATATGAGAATCGAACCATGCAACCATAACAAAATGCCACTGAACTCTTGCACTTACTTTTCAGTTCAATATAAATTCTCTATGGATAGAAACCTATTAATTGCAATCATCATATAATTTAAAATTCTCTTCGTTTGGTACCAATATAGTTAGTGAAGAAGTGAAGGCATCTAAATTAATCAAAAATACGATAGCATAATTCATGAAATAAATTTTTAATTTAATCTCCTATAGAGCTGTACAAAATTAAGTATTCATAAAATATCACACGGATTTCAATAGAAATTAATTCTCGAAAATTCGATGCCGATTTATTGAATGCATTTAAAATTCAGCGAAAATCAAAAAATTATCATATCAGTTTTTTTCGCAATCAAATTATGCTACTTGGCTCAATTATTTTGGTAAGTTTTTTAGGAATAAAAATATAATGGAGTGTTTTTCGTCTAATTTAAGATTTATTGATAAGATTTATTCCGCAGTTTCTATAAGAGTAAAACATCTCCAAAGCAATAAAATAAATTAAGTTGATAAAAACGAATATTCTAAAACCGCAAATCTCGTAAAAACGTGTTGCAGAATTAATTTATTGTAAGATTAGTAATATTCGGAGCGCTCGACATTTTCGAAATCTCCATTGATATTTATTTAGTTTTTCTTACTTTCTATTGAATTTTCTAAGCCCGATGCATTGCAACAACGTTAACAATCCTTTTAGGCCCATTTCATGAAGCTAGTGATAAAAATTTTAACTATGTTTAACTACGTTCAAAAAAGTTAGAAGCGACGTAATTTTACGCTGTTCTCGATGTGATGCTCAAAAGGAAGCGCATCTTTTTGCAGGTATCCGTAACCTACCTGCGACATACCCCTTTTCCCCAGGTGGGAGCATTAAAAAGTTGAAAGGATAGGGGGAATTGATGGTAGGCAGAGAGAAAGGGAGAAGGCAATTTCGAGTGTTTGGGAGTATTATGCCGCAACCAAAATAGCAATACTTTGACAATATTAATAAGGCGGCAAATATTAAGATAATATAAGTAACCATAGCTTCCAGAAGATATTAGCCAAAGATAATTTTCCCTAAGATAATTTTCCCTAACCCAGCAATATCATACAAGTGCGAATTAAAAAGGCCATATCATGAATAGTCACATAAATAGATATTTATAGGAATATTAAGGAGTTTTTTGACATAAAAATTATTTATCTCGGTATTTCATATATAAAAAATGTAGCCGGATGGTAGCAAAATGAGGAATCGGCCATTAAGACATATAGCGGACATATAGCTATAAGTACCTTGGTATCCTACAGTCAGATGGTAACCACGTGAGGAGGCAAGGAAGACTGCAACATCCAAGTATCACCAAAAGAAAAGACCAATCTTGAAGAGCGCTTCATTGAGAGTGCTCCTCGAATGTAAATAACTCATTCTTTCTAAATTGTCTTTTAACTTTTTTTTTTGTCAAGTGGACCGATTAGTCGCGTTAGATGCAAATGCAAAAAAATTATATTTAAATTTAAGCACTTCAAATTTATTGACGAGGCATTTATCCAAGTTTTTGGCTATTTCCGTGTATCTATATCCATGCACATATTGACATTGCATAACACGTTTGTTCGTATGGGAAAGCCTTTTGTCAATAATAAACAGTTCCATATTTGGTCCACAGGAATGTCCTAATTGTATGCAATCTATTTCGCAAAATAGTTTATTCAGGCTGCACAGACTATTCTTGAAAAGCACCTTATTTCTATTTCTTTCTTCTTAAAAAAGCCTCCTTAAACTTTCAGTAATAGACTATTAATGTTCAGGCATAATTTCCGCCGACTCGTCTGAATATTCAGATAAGATCCTTTTAATAGAGAAATAGACTGAAATACTTCCATAGCATTACCTTTCGAATTTCACATGATTCGTATCTTTATTTTTTCTTCTTCTAACAGCTCTTATCATTACTTGTTAGGATGGCTACGCGCTGGCTGAAAGAGTATTTCCAAACTCTCGATCTAACGCCATCGTCGACAATAATAGAAGCCATTTCTTTTTCTAATATCTAAGTCCATATATTGCTGGTCCATCAATATGTTTTTTTCTGATTGTCTTAGCCCAGATCTTGATTTGTCCATTCCTCGCTTTTGACGCTACCCATCAAAAGCTTTAGCAAATAAAAAATATGTATCAATTCCTATGGTGGATGCGGAAAAATTTGCCCAACGAAAGCGACGCTTTATGATGGTACTCTTAATGCAAGTGGTATTTGAGTGAAGATGAATGCAATTATGTACGACCTGCTCGGCGAACCCGTAAAATTTATCTTAGAGTGGCAGATAGCTTCTTAATATATCCTTAATATTTTTCACTAGTCATAGCCATAGGCATAATGGCAAGATAGAGCGAATTGCAGCTATATGGGCGCGGACTTCTGATTATTTGGTGATTTCGCGACGCATCCATAAAGATTTCGTCTAGCTATCGTTATCAAGGTTTTTCACCTTCTACTTAACCATTTGGGATTAGAGTGAATCAAATATGTTCAAATTCAAGCACATTATTTTACATTTTATCATAATGGCCAGCAAAAAAGGCTACATAATTGGCGTATTCAACATATGAGATGCTCTGGATGTACCTCCAAGTTAACCATAAGGCAACAACTATGTCATTCCATGCAATAACATATTTGATAAATTTTTAATTTAATTATAAAAAAACTCACAAAACTAAATATTTATAGAATAAAACGATGGAATTAAATAGAATTGGGAAATTTAGGTTAATTTATCGATTATATTAAAATATAATCAGTGAAAACCAAAAAATTATTATATTAGTTTTGTTGCAATCAAATTATGCCGTATGGTTCTATTGTCTTGGTGAGTTTTTATCGGAATAACCATAATTAGCTATGAGCTATTTTTTCTGATTTGGGGCTTATAAAATTAATTTCTGACAAGGAAAAAGATAAATTTTTTTTTGATATTCTATTCGAGCGATGCCAGGGACGCCATTAATTAATTTTTTAAGTGAAACGTTAGCGAAATGGTCACACTAGGTGAATCTTGGACGAACTATTTGGTAAATAATGAATTAATTTAGATAATCGTGCAATGTTCCAATGCCGATATTCCGCATATGAGATTTTTTGAACTCGGCCAAATTTTCCAAGATTTTGGATGCTTATCGACTAACATCATATGTGGCAGGAATATGGCATTTTATACAATTGAGGAAGAAAACACCTCCAATTCTATTAAATGCTGGCAACGTTGTTCTTGTTTGGATAAAAAATATGTAGAAATTAGTGGAAAATGTATTGAAAAGCCATTTATGGATACGAATGAAATTTTGCAGGTTAATATTTTTGAAAATACTGGATTTTAGTTGGAAACGATTTCTAGGGCAACTTTGAACTATTAAAGCTATTAGAATTGTTTCTTATAGAGTAACAAAACAGGCTTCTAGACTTTTAATAAGGATTTAACTCTAATGAGAATAATGTTACTGTTGGTACTCGAAACAATAATCTGAAAATTACTCGGTTCTGTAAAAATAAAATGCCTTCTTTTTAATTAATTAATTAATTAATTAATGCTAATTAACTGGTTAACTGGTCAATTATAGGCCATCATAGATTCTATATTATTTAAAGTGAAAATTGAGGAGTGCTAGAGAATCCACTGGTATTTCTGATGCTAAATGACTATCTGGCGGTTTAGTGGTGAATGGAGTTGATCATATTAAAAATGATGACTCCAATTGAAAAATTAATGAGTTGAGTTTCCATAGATAAAAAACTTGGGAAATCTTACAAATTTTTTCGAAAAATTTGTGATACAAACGATTTGCTTGCCTGTCTGTTCTTACAGCCATACAATAGAACTATTAAAAAAGCAAAAAATATTAACTTTCGCGATTTCAATTTAATAAAAGGAATTTCTTCAGACCACTTCTTATCACCCTACGCAGACCTATAGATTGGGCCAAAGAATTTATGATAGACGATGCACTATAACCGGCCGGAGTTGTGGCATCAATATGGTCTTTAAAGTCAACCATATAAAACATGCGCTTTGCATCCAAAAATGTGTATGTGACCATAATTCAGAGGAAAAAAATGGAGAATGCGTCATTAAATATAATTCAACATGTGCTAAAAATCGAAGAAAGGTTTAATTTTTTTTATTTCCAAATGAAAATTCGGTCATGTAAAGTCCGAAATCCGGAAGGTGCTGGTGTAGAAGCTATCGCGGTACCTGAATCTTCGAGTGGCTATCTAGTGAAAAAATCTCATCTGAATAGTTAGCTGAACCAGAAATCATGCCTTAACATTAATAATCCATTACTGAAGTTTTAAAGGTACTATTTTTAGAGGAAAGAAATAGAAAAGAGATGCTTACGAATGGGAACGTGCAGCCTGAACAAAATATTTTATGAGATAGGATGCATAAAAGAAGGACATTCCTGTGGACGAAATATGGAGCTGGTTATTATTGACAAAAGGCTTTCTTTTACGAGCAAACGTTGGAAATGCGTTATGCAATGTCAATGTAGGCATGAATATATTGAATCAAACGGTCGATGCACCAAAATAACCAAAAATTTGGTGAATTAGACAAATAATTCGTTCTTTGAAAATATCATTATATCATTTGATATGCACCTTTTGCATTTGATTTGACTAATATCGGTTCTGCAAATGCCCAATACAATCTTATACAATCTATTTGAAGCTTATTTATTGCACAATGAAAGTGCAGTAGAAAAATTAAGATTTTAAGGTTCAAATAAATTTTTTTAGCATGAAAAAATCATTTGCTTGCGAGGAGGATGCACTCTTAATCAAATAGTTCAAGATATAAGTTGTTCACTGAATGGTCGCTTCTGTGGACGCAACATGACGTTTGTTCTAATTAAAGGATCCAAGCACCGCCATCATCATATTTGCATTGTGCAGTACAAATGCGTAGAGGGCTATGATGAAGAAAATGGCCAATGTATTAAAGAAAACGAAAAGAGAAGAACAAAGAATATTGTAAATTTCAAAATTAATCTTTTAGATAATAAAAAATTGTTAACTCCAAGCCAATAGATAATAGTTTGCTCAATCTTGTAAGAAAACTAATGGAATTAATTAATTTTAGTGCTTGGAAAACGGCTGTGAAGTTGGAATGACAATTCATGATGAAGGATGCCATTTGACTGGAGAGAAATGTGGAAACAATATGATATTCAAGGTGGTCAATAGTACAGTTCGTAATGAAACATATTCGATTTATTGCACACAGCGATGCAGTTGCATAAATTCTGACTTCATATATTCTGAAAGAAATTCTGGCTGCGAAGAAAAAGGTATCGGTGATTTATCGAGTACCACTTCGCATGACACCATTACTACAGGAATGCACGATTTTGAAGTATGCATTTTTTCTATATACTTTTTCTCATTGTTTTTATTATTCTTTTCTATTATTCCTATTAATTTGCCTTTCATTTTTTTGCATAAAATTGTTGAAATTTCAACTACTGAAGTCTAACAATGTTGCGGGAATATATATAATTTCTGTTCGACTATATTGTTAAGAATAATTTCCAGTCGCATACAAAAAAGGGCTACAATCTTGGTGAAGAAATTTCTGATCTCGGTTGTCGTTTAAGAAATCATGAATGTGGAATTAATAGAAAATTCATTGTTGTTGAAGAATTTTCTGCCGAACACGATTCGATTATTAAAGGATGTATCGTACGCTGTAGTTGTACCGTGGAGTGATATGATGGTTGTATGATGACCCTTCACGAGACAACAGACCCAGTTATCTGGTTTTTTTTATCACATAATAAAAAAGTAAAGCGAAAAAAAAATTTAATTTTATTTCTTATCCTCAACGACCTTTCACTCATTGTTTAATTTTGCAGAAATTAGAAGAAATATGAAAAAAAATTTAGAAAAAGAAATAAAAAATTAAAATTAAAACATATTAAAACATATATTGTTTAAGAGATTAATATAGTTTTTTATGCAATTTTGGTTGCAACTGCGTAGAACGTTAGGACGTTTACGAATGATGACGAAAGAACCACTTAACAATGTCATTCACCCTCATAGGAATAGTATGGCTTAGTGGGTTGTCGCTCAATTCGAGGCGCCGATACCAAGGTTCTATTCCCAGCAGGACTAAACCTGTCCAAAAATCCGGATGATGCTAGCGATTCACTTTTACTTCAATCGAATTTAACCAGTAATGGTGAAAACTCTTCAAAAAAAAGAAATTCACCTCCATAAACAATAAAAAACATATCAGACATACAAATTATACAATCCACACGTAGAGCTTATTGCTTTCTTTATTTCGGAGATAAAGTATGAAGTTCTTGGTATTTCAGGAAAAAATAAAGTCAAATAACCTGGTCACAGCTGGCCATGGCCATGTATGATGAATTCACCGCCATAATTGATATCAGTAGCACTAATTTAAAAAATCACTAATTTTTGTCGAATGCATCTAGCGATCCATGTTAAATAAATTTCTATGTATTCTTTTGTTTATATCAACAGTAAATAATAATTCATCTAAGTCATCTGATTAAGTATTTTAGCATGAAAATGTGTAAATTTTCGGAGAAAGAAATCGGAGAAAGAATTGCATTATTACATCCATCTGTTAATGCACCAAAACCCGTTGAATTTCCTGATCTCCTGAAACCATTCATCACAAAATTTTTCCAAAAAGAACGTGAAAATTATTTTCCTTTCATTCTTTTAAAATTATACGCTTGGGGGGAAACATATACGTTTGCGATCAAATACAACTCCAGTAGAATATCAGAGAACATTATAATTTTTCTTATAGATGAAAAATATAAATATAAATAAAGTTATCCTTGTAAAGAATAGATTTATGCAGCATATTTTGAATAAAATAACAAATAAAATGTACTTTTTTGATTTTATTTTCGCTGATTTATCATTAATTTTTAATATAATCGATTTAATATTTTTATATAAATTAGCAATTAATTCTATTAAAATCAATCAAAAAGTTTATGGTATTCAATGAAAAATTAATTTTATATAACGCACTGTTAATTAAAATTTTCTTAACAAATGTTGTGATAGAATGAATTGATTACTTTTTGTTTAACATAAAAAGCGCATATTTTTTCATTCATTCTATAGCTGAATATTGCCCCAAAAATAGTTTTAGTTAAATCAAAATAAGGAGACTTAACGAGATTTCATACATATTAAATGGATATAATTAGGCATTAGAGTATGTTCATCGCCGCCTACTGCAAGAGTTGACTCATACTTCGTTACTTGCCGAACCCTGCGATGGGTGGTGTTAAAGGCGAGGTGGATCAATCAGAACCTAAACTGAGATGCAACGATTTTGCACGTATAGATGGACAAGCAATATATGGACTTGAATGATGGAAAAAGAAACGGCTTCTATTGCTGTCAACGATGATAGACTGGGTAACGGACACCTTGTCGGTGCTCAAGTGGTGTCTAAATCAGTCCAGAGCATCGTATCACATGTCTTGAATACGCTGATGATGTAGTCCTTTTTGCTGATAGTTATGATAAAATGCAAGTAATGCTAAATAACATGTCAGAAACTGCAGCAAGAATAGGACTTAGGGTCAATGTACACAAATTGAAAGTCTTTTCGTCTTATGTACAAGAAGCTGATAAAATGCTTCTTTTTGTAAATTCATTGCCGGTTGAGCAAGTACCCGATACCTTGGCTCTCACTCTAATACCAAATGGACAGGCAAAAGGTAATATTACAACTCGGATCATGGCTGCTAGAAATGCATTCTTCCGGTTGACGTAACCTTTATGAAATCACCATAAAAACGAGCCTGCATCTATATAACCGTAATTCGATCTTGCTATATGGCTCTGAGACATGGCCAATGAGAGTGGAGGATATTAAGAAACTATCTGCCTTTGATCATTCTCGTCTAAGGAAAATTTTACGAGTTCCTCGAGTCTCTCACATGATCGCATCCATCTTCGCTCAAATAACACCTGTATTAATAATGTTATCATAGAGTGTTATGGTTAGGAAACGTTTTCCGTCGTCCATCACAAGAGTTGTCGTATATTTCTTACTAAACCGTGTGATGGATGGTATCAAAAATGAGGTGGGCCAATCAAGGCCTGGACTGATATGGAAAAAGGAACGGCTTCTATTACTGTCGACAACATCAGATCACGTTGCTTGGAAACGTCTTACCCTTGTAGCCGTTGGAGCCAGCCTAACCAGTAATGGTGAGAGCTGTTAGAAGAAGAAAGAAGAGGGAGCGGTATAGAGGATGCAGTTTTTCTTCGAAAACATACAGGCAATTGCTGTCTTTCTGGTAGTCAATGAAACTATCCAAAGTAGAAATGGTGCCTCTTATTATAGGAAGAAGAAACCACTTCAGAACATATGGAATAGAATTTAATATAGAAAAAATATCGAATTTATTGAACAAAATAAAAATAAATTTTTAGAAATTAAAACTAGAAATTTCGCATGCAACCGTCAGGTCTTGTAAAGGCACAAATACAGCGTTCGATACATCCTTTAATATTCGGATCGTGTTCTGCAGAAAATTCTGCAACAGTAATGAATTTCTTATTGATTCCGCATCGGCGATTTCTTAAACGACAACCGAGATCAGAAATTTCTTCGCCAATATTATATTCTTTTCTTATATACTTCTGCAAATTATTTTTAAAATTAGCGTTGAACGCAAACTGCATATTCCCGCAGTATTGTTTGGTTTCATTGATTGAAATTTCAATAATTTTGTGCAATAAAATGAAAAATATACAAATATTCAATAAAAGAAATATGAAGTATATAAGAAAAATGCAATACTTTTAAATTGTGCTTTCCAGTAGTTCCATTAGTAATGGTATAAAGCAAAGTGGTACTCGATAAATCACCAGTGGTACCATCCTCTTCACAACCAGAATTTCTTTCAGAAGAGTCAGAATTTATGCAACTACATCTTTGTGTGCAATAAATCGAATATGTTCTACGACGAATTCCACTACTGATCACAAGAAATATCATATTTTTTCCACAATTTTCTCCAGTTAAATGGCATCCTTCATCATGAATTGTCATCCCAACTTCACAACTTTTTTCTAAGCACTAAAATTAATTCTTTTAGTTTTGTTATACGATCGAGCAAACAGTTCTTTATTATAAACTCACAATATTCTTTGTTCTTCCATGTTGTCTCGTTTTTTTATGCTGTCCAATGCATTGGCCATTTTCTTCCTTATAGCCCTCTGCACATCTGCACTGCACAATACAGTTATAATAATAACGGTGCGCAGTTTGTTTAATTAGAATGAACTTCATGTTTCGTCCACAGAAGCGGCCTTTCAACGAACAAGTGACGTCTTGAACTACTTCATTGAGAATGCATCTTCCTCGCATGCAATTAATCCTTTCGTGCTAAATAAATGATGTACTAAATATTTTACCCAAGCTATTTTTTACTGTTTCATTATATAACGCGTGTGAGATTCAAATTCATCTCGTCAAATAAACTCGTTAAATCAGATCAAATATATTTATGGAACTCACAATATTTTTGGATATCGCAATGCATCGGCCATTCGCTTCAATATATCCATAGACACATTGACATTGCAAAACACATTTCCAACTTTTGCTCTTATGCGAAGGCCTTGTATCAATTATATCCAGTTGCATATTTGGTCCACATGAATGTCCTAGTTGCACGCATTCCAGTTCGTGAAATATTTCGTTCAGCTTGCACTTTGCAGCTCGAATACATCTCATTTCCATCTCTTTCCTCTTAAAACGGCATATTTAAAAAGGCAATAAGAGGCAATCTCTCTCATTCTCTTCTCCTATGATTTCTTCAACTTTCACATAATATGCAGTTCGATTGATCCTCATCTGCAACTTGAGGTACTCGGCTTGATGTTTCCTTATCATCGCATGAAAACTTAAATATTAAATATTTTGCCGAATTTTTAACTATGATTTTACCATTTTTAGCGCATTCCTTCGATTTTTGGCGCATTGCAAGTTGTATGAAATGATGCATTCCCCATTTATTTCCTCTGAATTGAGTTTGCATACGCATTTTTGGATACAGTATATATTTTTCACATGATTGATGGTTTTGAAGACCATATTGATGCCACAAATTTGGCCACTTATAGCGCACCTCTTGTCGAAAATTTCTTGGCCCAAGCTATAGGTTCGCATGGAAGGATAAGAAGTGGCCTAAAGAAATTTCTTTTGAAATTAAAGTTGAGACTATGAAATTTTATGTCATACAAATACAAATTCTTTATATTAAGAAATATACCATAAATATTTCATAATTTCTTCAAGAAAATTTATGTAATTTTCTAACATTCAGCATTATCCAGTCCCATTGGCTATTAAGAAAAAATTCTTTCGCCAGTAAATTTTCCTGTCAGTGAATCTATAATGGGTTAAACTACTGTTAACCAGTATCAAATAAAGATCCAGTATAAAGCATTTTAAAAAACTTTAATTATTAGTATTAGTATTATTAGTATTAATTAATAATAATATGACAAGCCAGTGAAAGATGAAAATATATCACCTCTGAAATATTCCTAGCATGAGTAAACCTGCCCAAAAATCCGTGTGATGCTGATGAATCTTCTAAAACAAAGGGACTCCCTGGCATATTTGTCCGTGCTATGCAAATTTAAATTTAAATAACAAAGGGACTCCCTGGACATTATGGATTGTTGTTCTCTTTGGGAAGATTTTGTGATAGTGCAAGTGAAATTGGCCTGCTAAATAGAATATGAACGGTTTGAAGAGATAGACTTAACAAGATTTGATGGATACTAGAGGGCGCAATTGTGTATTTGACATTGCTTTGCATAGTTTACATTGTTTTCGAAACTGGTTATTGATGGTGCGAAAAATTGTGAGATACCATTTTAATCTCATCTTCCTGACGGGACGTTAACAAAATATAATGGGTGCCAATAGAGCATACATTTTCGAGTTTCCTTCTCTGAACACATATAGTAAACTAACATCTAAGAAGATTCAGCATTATTACCAGTCTTATTGGCTATTAATAACGAATTCTTTCGCCAGTGATTCTTTTTCGTTAGTGAATCTATGATGGCATTTAACTACTGTTAACCAGTATCAAATAAGGATCCAGTAAAGCATTTTAAAAAACTTATATTTTTATATAAAATTTGCTTGCTCATCGGGTTTCCAAAAGGAGTGGGCTGTATTTAAAGTATGTTTTATCCACAAATGAAATTCGAAATGAGGAAACTGAAATTAACTGTTGAATATTTCTTATCACCGTCCACAAATGAAATTCGAAATGAGGAAACTGAAACTAACTGTTGAATATTTCTTATCACCATTATCATCCGCATCATCCTCCTCCCAATCACATTGGGTGCATCCTGAATTACTTTGCACAAAATTATGAGCACAAATACATTTATCGACGCAAGATCCATTATGCTTTGAAAATATTTGGAACACCATATTTTCTCCACAGCTTCTACCGATCATACGACACTCAGAATCTTTTACCAATTCGTTTAGCGTAAACGACTTTTTCTTAAATATTGAAGAGAAATAGATGTTAATGTTATCATTGATAATTATAAATTATATAACTGATATGTCGCCGGCTGATTTATCCTATTCAATTAGTTATAAATTTCCGGAAAATTTGTTTGCTAACTAAATCATTGTTTCTTATCCTGATTTTCTTATTTATTAAATCATATTGCCCAAGAAAATATCTTTGAAATTAAATTGTTATCGTATTTTTTACTTTATTATTTACAGCCTTTCTCCATTTGACTTCATTTACTATTAAAATGAGACTCTTCAAACAATCACTTGGAGATAGACGTACAGGTCTTTCTACTCGAATTAGACTTTCAAGGACGAGGGACGAGGTTTGCTCCTAGAAAAGGCCTAACCACTGGTGCTTGAAATTTTTAGCAATATATCACTTACCGCATTATAAGAAATAATTCTAAAAAATAAGAAATAAAATAATTTTTATGAAAACCAGTGATCATTTTCTAATTCCGATTTGATCTTGAATAGTATTGCTATAAATTTATCCGCTGTAAATTTATTTTTCAAATATTTTTTTTTAAATTTCTATAAAAAAACTACTACTACTATTGCGAACTACTAAGAAGCTTAGTTTTTTTCTTTTTTTCCTTTTCTAAATTTATAGAAAAGGAATTAAAATAATTAAATACATACATATATATATATATATATATATATACATATATATATATATAATTAAATATATATATATATATATAAAATTTATAAATTTTATTATAAATATTGAAATATAACTAACAATGTGAAACCAATATTTATGTCTGTCTTTAACAGGAATAAACCCATCCTGTCAAAAATATCAATTTACATTAATAATGCTATCAAGAGCTTTGCCTTCGCTTATTAGACCACATTTTCCGTCGTCCACCACAGGAGTTGACGCATATTTCGTTACTTGCTGACATTGTGATGACTCAAAAGCGAGATGGGCCAGGATCTGGATTAAAAGATCAGAAAAGATTTTGAACGTATATATGGACCAGCAGTATATGGACGATGGAAAAAGGAATGGCTTCTATTAATGTCGAAGATGGCATCAGATCACGCCGATTGGAAGCATCTTGCCTTTGTAGCGATTGAAGCCAGCCTAACCACTAATGGTTAAAGTAACAGAAAAAAAAGAAAGTGATATTATTTCTTGTAGATTTCCTTATAATATTTTAGTGTAAAATTCCAGAAAATTCTTTCAAACATTATCAGTGTTTCTCTTTTGATTATTTCCATTGTCTATTACATATAAAGGTGATTCTTTAATCAATGAATCAATAAAAAAAAATGAGTCGCAAAACAATAAATCAGACAATCGGAATCAGATATGATCAATAACTTCCTGTATGAGTAGTCTTTTTGTCTTTAAGTTCGGATTTTCCAGCAATAATATAATTCCTAGGTTCCCAGCCACTTCGATGAAATTTTAACTGCCATTAATTTTATGATTAAGTACAATTTGATAGGCAAAGGTACTATTGGCACTATTTCCTTGAAATGTTCTTAAAAGTTTTAAGTTTTTAGTTTTACCTGCGAAGTTCCATTCACATCCACAAATGATATTTCGACACATCTTCCACTAATTTCTAAATATTTTTTATCTAAACAAGAGCAACGTTGCCAGCATTTAATTGGCATTAGCGATGTGTCCTTCTCAATTGTATAAAATGCCATATTCCTGCCACACATGATGTTAGTCGATAAGCAACCAAAATCTTCGAAAACATGGCCGAGTTCAAAAATTCTCATGAAAGGAACGAAATAGGCAGTAGAATATTGCAAAATTATCTAAATTAATTTATTTATCCGATGGTTAAATTGACATTATTCATTAAATTGGCTGAGTATACCTAGTGAGATCACTTCGGCAATTCACTTCAAAGCAGAGTTAATACCGCTAATACTGCTTACAATATTTTTATACTTCTTATCAACTAGAAATTAGTCTTATCAGTCACAAATCAGAAAAGTGATAATTGTAATTTATATGGTTATGGCTATAAAAAGATACCAAAATAGTTGAACCAAATAGCATATTTTGTCACAAAAAAATAGATATATTTCGTTGATTTTCGCTGATTTGATATATTTTAATGCAATGAATAAATCAGCAGAGTTTGCGAAAATTCATTTCCACAAAATCCAATTGATAATTGATAATCTATGAATATTTAATTTTGTACAACCCATCACTGAATTGGTTTATGAAATTTTTTTCATCTCCAATTTTAAAAAAACTCAAAATAACAAAAATTGATAAATATATTTCATTGTTCACAGGTCGAGATAATGCATGAAAATGTTTGTTTGTAAAGAATAATTTGTGTTTATTTGCTGATTACTGCAGGGCTTATTGAACGCTCGTTTGATATGATAATACGTCGCTCTAAAATACGTCATAAACAAAGTGATTCGATAGCTTTATTTTATACTGAGGATAAATGAAAAATTCTAGAAATAACATAGAAACCCCTTATTTTCCATTAATTCTGATAAAGTTCCATTACCACGAATGCACAAATCTTATCATAATAAATGGGATCGTTACGATTTGAATTAAACTTAACTAATAAGCGAGCAAAATCTATAATATCGGTTTAAATTTGACATAACAAGAAGCAACGAATTAAAATTATTTAAATCCTCAAAACTTTCCGAAAAACTAATGAACTGAAATTTTTTCATTCATAGATTCGTCCGAATATTTTATTAAGACTGTTTATTGGAATATAAATCCAGCGATTTGGCATATTTCATTCCATTTCGTTCAAACATGAAAATTACAATTATTCATGCTAAAGCAAGAAAATTAAAGGAAATTTGTAAATATATAATTTTGAAGAAATTGTTGTAGAATGACCAAGGAGCCTATAAATTTTGGCGAATCATCCGCAATTGCGTCTGCAATATAATTTTATCCTCCTAGCAAAAGCGATAAAAATTTGAGAATGAAAATTACAAATATTCACCGAAATGAAAGGAGGCACCTAGTTATAGATAGAAACAGCATTTTTCATCTTGAGTGGAAGGTAAAGAAAGGAAGAAACTTTCTCCTCCCTCTATCCCAAATCCTATATAAATTAGCTATCACTTTTGAACATTTGAGATTTGTGGTAGGGAGGGGAGGGCGGGTGGGACTGGATTGAGAGAAAGGAAAGAAAAAGGGAAATAAAGAAGTGGGCAAGAAAGACGTTGGCGAGGGATATTTTCGCATTCTCGCATTGGTGTATACCGTTCGTCGTTTGCATGATCACCATGCACTATCCTGCCGGTTTCTTACTATTCGAGTATACTTGTCGCAACAAATTATATTTATGGGCCTATTGATAATATTTAGGTAGATAATGTTTTGTATATGTAATTTCTATATATAATTTCCTCTCGTTCTATTAATAAATTCGCAAGAAAGATTTTTTTATTTTTTATTTAAAATATTTAAAGAAGGAAGGCAATGCTGCAGTATTCGAAGAGTTGAAAGCTACCTTTCTTTGCCTTTATCTTTTTCACGAATTTCGATGCACTATTTATCTTTTAACAATAAAACGTATTATCAACCAAGATTAAAAGAATTTATATCAACATTTATTTATTTATTTAATTATATTTCGAAATTATTTATGGAGGAAATATAAATTCGCAGGTAGTTTTTTCCAGCAATTCGCCTGGATGAAGAACTGACCGCTGAATTGAAACATACGCATAAGCTTTACAATTTCAGTACAATCTAACTGTACTAGTGTTGAGACAAGTTATAAAATTTATATGGCCTTTTTTAAATATACCTCATCCTAAAAAGACCAAACCGAGGACTCATCATAAGGACTTCGATCATCAAATAAAAGATATGAAAAGCAAACATTTTAGGTGAGTGAAGCCAATTCGGGTATGGTAAACGCTTTTAATATGAAGAAAATTGTCAAAGATCTGGTGAAATGGTTTTACTCGGTGCACCCATGCAAAATTTGAGTTTCTTTCTGTTAAACCAAAAACAAATTTTCAATTCAATGAGCTATACAAAATTCAATATTAATAGAATATCACATGGATTTTAATAGAAATGAATTTTCGAAAACTCTGCGCTGTTTTATCGATTGTATTAAAATATATAAAATCAGCGAAAATCAAAAAATTATCATATCAATTTTTTTTGCGTTCAAATTATGCTGCTTGGCTCAATTATTTTGGTAAGTAAGTTATGTTTTTTTGGGACTAACAGCAAAAATTGCAACGAGTAGTTTTTTTCTGATTTATAAGACTAATTGTTGAGGAAACGCACAATCTTCTAATATTCCGAGTGGCATTAGCGATCATCTTTAACACTATCATTAAGTGAACTGCTTGTGAAATGGTCTCACTCGGTGCATCGAACCCAGTTCTTCGCTCATGAAATGAATAACTATGAGATAACGGAGTAAAAGAGTTAATTTATAATATATAGATAACCGTGCAATGTACCAGTGTTCTGAACGCAAATTTTTTTGAACTTGGCCAAATTTTCGAAGATTTTGGATGTTTATCGACTAACATCATGTGCGGCAGGAATATGATATTTCGCACCATTCAGCAAGAAGCCACATCCCATTCACTGGCGCATGCAAAATGCTTGCAACGTTGTTCATGTCTTAATACAACACACTCAGAAATTAATGGGCAATGTATCGAAGCATTGGCCGATAATTATGACGAAAACGAAAATGGAAATTTGCAAGTAGTTTTTTCTGAAAATATTTCGAGGAAATTTCTAACTTTAAAATTTCTAAAATTTCTAACTAACTTCAACCGATACACTATTTCCATTGTTTGCTATTTCGTTGCCTGGGTCGATTAAAGTCGGCACGGAATTAAAGTGCAGCTAAATTGAGAAAAGTTTTTGAATTTTTGAGTTTTTCTGCCTTTGGCAATCATAATTTCATCGAAAGTTAAACTCCGCACACGCATTATTTTGGTTTTATTGTATAGAAATATATTTCACTCCAACCAAAATTGCTTCCTAATTTTTCTAAGATTTCTGAAATTCCTATTGCATAATATAAGATCCGTATGACTGCACCTTCTGTATTGGCCTTTTAGTGAACAGTCGCCTAAACGGCTTAAGGAATTAATGAGGAGTTGGCCAATACGGAAATACTGGAAAATGTTCGAAAAGGGTGAGTGGAAGTGGAAAGCGGAGATTTTAAACTGTTGAAGCAAATCTATAAAGTTTAATCCTATGATAAATGTCTCATAAAGCTAGAATTACTTGAAATTAATGTAAGGGTGAGTGATTTGCTTGTTATTCGATTGTTAATCACCACGGTCTTTTCTGCATCAAGGGAATGAAAAAGAAATCCGGGTAGTACTGACAACTGATCCATGCCACCACGTGACCCTTGCGAAATATTCCTAGCACCATGATCATTGGCAATAATATTTCTAAATGAAGTACTGCTGTTTTTAGTATTGCAAAAATTTTTATATACAAAATATTTATTCGAACCATTCCGTAAAGAAAGTTAGAATTAGGATCAGGAATAGTGATTTAATCAACGGAAAAATTCCGGCAATAAATAATGAATGGGAGTGATCAATCGTTAACTGATTTACAACAACTGATCGACCTATAATAATATAATTATACTCAATCTTCAGTTTTTTCTCATTTAAGGAACAATCTTATAAGCTGAACAAATTCATAATTGACTTCGAATGTCGTTTGGTCGGTAGTGGTTGTGGAAAAAATATGGTGCTCGAAATAGTATCAAAGGTTAATGGATATTGCATCGACAAATGTGTTTGTGCGGATAATTTTGTGGAAAATGATGTAGAATGCATCCAATGTGACTGGGAGGAGGATGATAATGATAATAATGATAATTATAATTCAACGGTTAGCTTATCTTTCCTCATTTTGAACTAGTTTCCTAATAGGCTTTTGGACTAATTTGCTCTTGCCAGGAGTAAGATTCCAGCGGGAGTTTGCTGATTTGAGCAACCTTTGGTTTTTTTCCATCTAACCCTACGACGATTAGAGCGACGGCAGATTCGAACCCAAACCTCAGTTCTTGGTGGCAGTTATCCAGTTATTAAGCCATCGGTACACCAGCAGTTTACCTTTGATGAGATAAATTGATAGAACTGATTTTTATTGACAATGAGGCATGTTGCATTGTCCGCAATACGATTAGAAATTTTTGAATGGATTTACTGCTGGATTACAGATAACGCAGGTTTCCTGGATTCTCAATACAGTGCAGTGCTTACCCATATTAGGAGCAGCTACTCCTTAGTACTCGGGATAACAATCTGCAACGACACGATTAACCACTTTTCCAAAAACATAAAAACTTTTTACTGCATAAAATATCATTAATAGATTATCTTATTTTAAAAACACTGCCAACAGCAGTTACTTACCTTCATCGTTTCTTGGTGACCTTAGCGTGAAAAATTGGAAATGCTGAGAAATCCATTCATGTTGTTGCCAAATACATTATTTCAGTTGCTAATGGAGCTGGTCTTATTGAAAATGCTATCCTTTAGATGAATTTCATTGGTAAAAGATTGGGAAATAGTTTTTGCTGAAGAATGTGTGATATAAACGATTTGCCTGCCTATCTATACTTATAGTCATACAATGAAATGTTGAAGGCGCAAAATTTATCAATTTTCTCAATTTTAATTCAATAAAAAGGAAATTGTTTAGACCAAATTGTTTAGACCACTTCTTATCACTCCGCGCAGACCTATAGATTGGGTGAAAGGATTTATGATAGGCGATGTGTTATAACCGGTCGGAGTTGTGGCATCAATATGGTCTTTGAAACCACCAGCCACCCGAAATATGCATTTTGCATTCAAAAATGCATATGCACGAGCAATTCAGAGGAAAAAGATGGAGAATGCGTCATTAAACACAAGTCAAAATGTATTAAAAATCAAAGAAAGGTCTAATTTTTTTTCTTCTTTTTTCTAATTAAGGAAGCCTATTATTAAACGGCTCTTTGAAGTATCTCACGTAAATACTCGGAAGAGTCAGCGAAACCGGAAATTATGCATGAAAAGAAGATGAGAGAAATGGGAACGAGGCTATTACTAAAATTTTAAATACATGGCTTTTAGAGCAAAGAGATAGAAATGAGTTGTTTTCGTGGTGGAAAGTGCGATCTATACGAAATATTTTACGATATAGAATGCATACAAGAGGGACATTCCTGTGGACCAAATATGGAACTAATTATTATTGACAAAAGGCTTTCTTCCACAAACCAACGTCGGAAATGTATTATGCAATGCCAGTGTGTGCATGGATATATCGAATCAAACGGTCGATGCACTGAAATAACCAAAAATATGGTACGCTCTTTAAATTATTTTATTTTTTGTAACGTTTAAATAAGAAATTGTCTAAACATAAAAGATTTTCCACATTTGCATTTAACAAAACGAAATTGAAATAAATACAGAAAATGAAAAAAAAGTTTAAGAAATAGACAATATTTATTTAGAAGGAAAGAACCACTTGCATACAAGGAGGTTGCACCCTCAATGAAGCAGTTCAAGACGTAAGTTGCTCGCTAAATGGTCGGTTTTGTGGACGTAACATGAAATTTGCTTTGATCAAACGATCCGAGCGCCGTCACCATTATATCTGCATTATGCAGTGCAAATGTGCAGAAGGATTTGAGGAGGAAAATGGGCAATGTACTCGAGAACATATAAGAAAGAGCAAAATAAAGAATTCTGTGCGGTTTTAAAACTATTTTCTTCCTTCTAAAATAATATTGTATAAAAAATTGTTTGTTTTGGAAAAAAATCTAGAATTAATTGTATTCTAAAAATTTTAAATATAATAGCAAATATAATAGCAAAAATATCTTTCAAATTTACACTTGTCACCTGGGAGAATAAAATGGCTCAGTGGATTTTTTACTGATTTCGGAGCACTGATGTTGAGGTTATATTGAACGCAGGAGTACAATTACATAAAAACTCGGTAATGCTGGCGGCTCACCTATATTTCTACCATCAGTGATATCCCTGGTATATCTCTCTAGTGTATATCTCTTTACTATATAAAATACTATTTTGTCCACAGAAGCGACAAGCTAGTAGAACGAATCCAACCAGTAATGGTGAGGACTATTTGAAAAAAAATCGAAAAAAAATTACTTGACGAGATGAATTTGAAACCAAATAGAAAAAACAGCCCAATAAAATACTATTTTATACTATTATAATACTATATAAAATACTATTTTAGTTTGTGGCCCGTGATATATTCTGCAATGAAACAGTAGAAAAACGCTTAAGATTTAAATTTAGAAGGAAAGAATTATTTGCATGCGAGGAGTATGCGCTCTTAATGAAATAGTTCGTGACATTAGTTGTTCATTAAATGGTCGCTTCTGTGGACAAAACATGGCATTCGTTCTAATTAAACGATCCGAGCGCCGCCAACATTATATTTGCATTATGCAGTGCAAGTGTGCAGAGGGTTATGATGAAGAAAATGGCCAATGTATCAGAGAACATGGAAAAATGAGTAGAATAAAGAATATTGTAAGTTTCAAAACTAATCTCACTCTTTTAAACTATTATAAAAAACTATTAAACCATTATAATAGACAATTGTTTGCTCCATCTTGTAAGAAAACTAATGGAATTAATTAATTTTAGTGCTTGGAAAACGGCTGTGAGGTTGGGATGACAATTCATGATGAAGGATGCCACTTGACTGGAGAAAAATGTGGAAACAATATGATATTCATGGTGGTCAGTGGTGGATTTCGCGATAGAACATATTCGATTTATTGCACACAGCGATGTAATTGCATAAATTCTGATTTCATATATTCTAAAAAAAATTCTGGCTGCGAGGAGAAAACTATCGATGATTTATCGAGTACCACTTCGCATGACACCATTACTACAGGAATGCACGATTTTGAAGTATTGCATTTTTTTGTGAATTTCTGCTTATTTCTTTCATTACTCTCATTATTCTGCTTTTATTGTATATTTATATGTAATAAATATAATAATAAATATACAATATAATATAAAAATAAATATAATAATAAATATTTCTTCTATTTTTTTGTATATTTTTTGTTTAGGGAATATACGTTCAACGCTAATTTTAGAAACAATTTGCAGATGTATATAGTAAAAAAATACCATCTTGACGAAGAAATTTCTGATCTCGGTTGTCGTTTAAGAAATCTTGAATGTGGAATCAATAAGAAATTTATGGTTGTTAAAGAATTTTCCGCCGAACACGATCCAAATATTAAAGGATGCATCGTACGCTGTAGTTGTATAGTGGAGGGATTTGATGGTTGCATGCAAAGTTTTTAATATTGCTCTTATTTTATTCAATAAATTCCAAATTCCATGCTTTTTCTATATCAAATTCTATATATTCTTAAAGTGGCTTCATCTTTTTGAGAAGACTATTTTTACTTTGGACAACTTAATTGATCAGAAGTAAGGCCTTGCACGAGAGGACAGTAGAGGGCAGACAGGCCAATCATCTGGTTTTCTTAAAACCATTTAGGAATATAAGTTATTGCTTATCGCATTAACGAGAAAAACCGAGACTAAATTTAAAAAATACTAACATGGAAAAATGATTTTTTTATTCAATAAATTGTAGTTGTGCCGTGGGGAAGCATGATGGTTGCATGCAATTTCTAATGTTATTAAAATTAAAAAAACAATATTTTTACTTTATACTATTTATGTAGTTTCCATGTCTTTTGAGATGGTTTCTTATTACACCCCCATAAACAATAAAAAACATATCAGACATACAAATTATACAATCCACACGTAGAGCTTATTGCTTTCTTTATTTCGGAGATAAACTATGAAGTTCTTGGTATTTCAGGAAAAAATAGAGTCAAACAGCCTGGTAGTAGTTAGCCATGGTTATGTCTGATGAATTCACCGCCATTCACATCAATAACACTAATTATGTCGAATGCATCTAGCGATTCATGTTAAATTTCTATGTCTTCATACCACCGTTCTTTTGTCTATATCAACATTATACAACAGTAAATAGCAATTCACATAAGTCAGCTGATTGAGTATATTAGCATTTAAGTATATAAATTTTCGGAGAAAAAAATCCAAGAACTGCATTATTGGCACCTATCTGTTAATGCACCAAAACCCCGTTAAATTTCCTCACCTCCTGTTGTGACTTTTTCGTTTAGACTGAACGGGATTTGTAGGGCTGTTACACCACAACAATATAATAATTTTTTATTTTTATTGAATATAGGGACAATAGTTTAGGTAAAACGTGAATTAAAAAAAAACTGTTTATATTGCAAAGAAAAGAAGAAAAAAAACCCACTCCCACACAATGTTCAAAAGAAGAAAAAAGGTGACCTTTTGATTTTTATAAACAATGATTTTCGACATTCCCGAGAGGGGAGAAAACTAGCAAGAGGAAGAAATTTGGGTTGATAACTTAAAACATTCTTAATGGTTTTAAATTCCTTTTTGTTGTGTAGGTCTTCCCCTAATAAATTCATAGGGATAGCAACGGTTTCTTGATTTGAATTTCTACTACATTTTGGACATAAAGGAAATAAAATCAATTGACAATTTAATTTAACAATAATTAGCACTATTAGAATGAGCATAGTAGTTCCACCAATAATCATGCGCCAATGTACGGCAAATTCCGAAAGTTCGTTTTGTATCAGTAACGTAGTTTTGCCAATCTCATCATCCAGCTGTTCTGCTAGCTCTTCTCCTTCTTCACTGATTTCTTGCCAGATAGTTTCCATGTTTTGTTGATGAGATACTGGATTGATGGGTTTTTGTTTGTCAGCCAATATTTCTATTTCCGCATTGATTCTTTCAATTTCAAATTTGCTTATTATACCAACTTTGAACTCAACCGTGTTCTGTGTGATGTTTCTCGAATCACAAGGAGCAATTAATAAAATGTCATCCACCCTTTTAGCGATGTTAAATGATATTCCAGATCTCCATTTACAGGTTTTTGTTGCTAATGTTCTTGTCGACATTATGGATAGAACTGTTACTAATATTATACATAACATTGTGAAACTTGACTTACTCCTTAAGCTTATTGGATTTCGTTGTTGTCTTGCCAAACTTCTAGTTCGTCGCGCTATTGGTTCTTCATTCTCGATCACAGGTGGAGTTCGTAGCTCCTTTGTTGAACTTCGTGTTCTCCGTGCGATGGGTTCTTCGTCCTTTGCATTCGTTAATTCAGTTGCATTCGTTACAGAGTCTTCGGGTTGATCTTCTTGTTCCACTTCCAGAGGGTATAACTGGTCTATTGAGAAGTTTCCCAAAAGGCAATTCTATCTGAACACTCATTTCCATTGCTACTCTTATTAAGTTTATTTATCTTTGCTAGTTTCCACATTCCGCGAGGAATATGTGGTTCATTTACTAGTACGACTTCTCCTAGGAAAGGTGGTCGTATTATTGCGCTTCTAGGAGATTTGTGTTCTATTTGTGTACGTTCCCTTGAACTATTTAAGTACTCATCTTTCCAAATTTTCCAAAATACATCAAGAGTTTCAAGAGTTTTTGACCAATATTTAATAAGCTTATCATAAGTGGTTAACTCATGTGGAACAAATTCATCTTCGTCACTGTCATTACTCATTGGTATATTTAGTAAGGCATCGGGGGAAATAAAATCCACAGGACGTAAAATTATTGGATCATCAAAATTCACGTAAGTTAATGGGCAAGTATTCATAATACTCTCTATTTCGATCGCTAGGGTAACTAAATCCTTTTCCTTTAATAATTTTCTACCAACGGCTTTTCTAAAGGCACTTTTCGTTATACCGACTATTCTTTCATAAATTCCTCCACTCCACGGTGCCTTCGGCGTTATATACTTCCATATTATTCCTTTGCTTGTAAGGAAATTACTTAATGGTGTTCTTGTTTCTTGATCGTTCGATAGACTAGGTGGAATTGGCTAGCATTGTCTGATAAAATTAGTTCAGGACACCCTCGTCGTGCTACGAATCTTCTTAACGGAGTAAGAAAACTTTTTGCAGATAAATCATCTGCTAATTCTAAATGCACTGCACGAGTTGTGAAACATGTAAATAATGCTACCCACCTTTTCGCCATTCCAACTTCCGTTTTAGCAGTGACAGGGCCTAAATAATCCAATCCGATTCGAGCAAATATTCTGGATCGTACTGTTCGGGAATCATGGTAGTCAGGCATGGGTGGCAGTTTAAACGATTTGGCTTTCCATCGTTTGCATCCGTAACATTTATTCAACACTCTCTTGACTTCGGCTCTTCCTTTAGGTATCCAATATAATCTTCTTAATTCAGAAATTGTATGAGGAATGCCGCCATGATGGATTGAATAATAATTTCTGTTATTCGATGTCTCGGAAGATATGTTAAATATGAGATACAACTACCACTACTTGGAAATTGTAATCGGCTTTTAAACCTCCATAATCCCGTTACATAATACAAGTTGCGCTTCTCTATTTCCTCTACTGATAGTCCTTCTGATTGAGCTTGTCTGAGTAACAATTCAACAGCAAATTCATATTCATATGGGTTGATTTGAGTTCCCTGTGACATATTGCTTAATAACCGGGGGAAATTTATCTTTGGATATTAGTTTAAGAAATTTCAAAACTCTTACGGTAGTTCGGACCATTCGTGAACCGATTCGCATCGACAAATCTGATGTTTTGGTAATAGTTTCTTGAATCGCTGTAACTACTACTTGTTCTCCTTCTTCGTCTATGGTTTCTTCGTTATTGCTTTCTTGTTTAATATCATATTCCCAATGGGGCCAGTTTGATTCTTCCTCCTTTAGCCATTCGGGCCCATTCCACCAAAGTGTGAAATTTGCCAGATCGCTTGGTGATATTCCTTTCGTAGCTATGTCTGCTGGATTACACTCACTTGGAATATATCGATACGCAAATTTGGCCTTTCGTATCTCTTCGACTCGATTTTGGATGAATCTTGGTAAGAGTCGAGAATGGTTTTGTATCCAGTGCAATGCGCACCGCGAATCTGACCATAAAATCACCTGTGCATTTTCAAATTCCAATTGTTTGATAACAAATTGAGCTGCTCTTACTCCAATTAAGATTGCTAATAGTTCGAATTTCGGTATCGTCATCGTTATCGTTATCGTTTTGATTGGGGCTACTCTTGACTTGGCAAAAATCAAGGACGTTGTCGGACTTTGTTTCACATAAACTGCCGCTGCATATGCTTTGATGGATGCGTCAGTGAACACGCGGATACTTGTATATTGAAATGTGTTGATAACAGCGCGTGGTATCTCCTTTACGTATGTTGGCTATAGAGTTATAAGGGAATTCCACGTTTGGCTTTCATGCTCGTTTAGTGGTTGATCCCATGGTAACTTCTTTTTCCAGAGATCTTGAAGAAATAGTTTGAAGGATATCATTGTTGGAACTAAGAAACCTAATGGATCGAAATGAGAAGCTATAAACTTTAGAATTGTTCTTTTAGTTAGTTTCTTATCAATCCATGGTTTTAATATTATCTCTATGACATCGTTGTGTGGATTCCAACTAATGCCAAAAATTTTTTCGACTCGGCTTACCTCTGCAAGATCGTAACTGGGTAATTGAGCATTGAAACTTTTATCGTTCGAGAAGAATTCTCTTATATTCATTGAGGCCTCACTGAAGATTGATTTCACTTCTTCATATTTTTTCAGAGCATCCTCTGTCCCTTTGATCGGTATTATGATATTATCAACATATAGGTTTTTTCTGATTTCATAGGCGGTTTTGCTGTGGTGGTTTTCTAAATGATAATTGAGCGTGGCCGACAGCAAAAAGGGAGACGATATTATTCCAAATGGTACTCTTTGAAATCGGTAACATATCAGGTTATCCTTTGTAGGTGGTTTTTCGACATCCTTTACCCATAGAAATCTTGTGCAATTCCTTTCCGTTGGTAACAACTCCAATTGTAAAAAGGCCTTTTCAATATCGGCAATCAACACATTTTTCATTGCGCGAAAACGAAGTAAAACACCAGCTAGGTCGGGGAGTGTGATCGGTCCTCTGTACAGGACATCGTTTAGACTTTTCATTCCTTTGAGGTGTGCTGAGGCATCATAGACGATTCTCATTTTCGTTGTAGATTTGTTTGGAGTTACGACATCATGATGTGGTAGATAATGAATAATACCATCTTGATTTGTTTCGTTATTTACTTCTTCGATGATGTTAGATTGCAATTGTTCATTGATTGTTTCACTGTATTTTCGTAATAAATCTTTGTCATTTTGAAGTCGTCTGATCAATGACTGTAACCTACCTAGACACAAACCAAAATTGTCGTTTAGTTTGAGGTTTGTTTCTTTCCATGGCCATAACACATGATACCGTCCATTGATTTTCGTAATGCTGTCCTTAAATTGGTTTAAGGCTTGTTCGTTATCTTCGTCATTAGGTTTGTCCTGTATTCCAATAACTTCTAATTTCCAGAAGCGGTCTATGTCTGTGGTAATACTATTGACGGATACAGTTGTTGGTGTTCTTTGTGGTCATTCGGATGTTGGCGCAATATCTTTACAGTTTGATACAGTTGTCATTCCAGTGAATTTAGGTGGCCTTGTTGCATCTCCACTGCCAGCTAATATCGGACCAACCTTAGTATTTATCAAGGAAAATCCTGATCTTATAACTTGGCATTGTTTAAATGGGATGAACTGAGAGAAATAGTCAGCTCCGATGAGTATATCAGGGCGTTCTACGCATCTTAAATTTCTGTCTAATTGAAATACTTGGTATGTCCAGTTGGTCTAATGGAATTACCGGCAGTGAGTTGGTTAAATATTCTATCACCTTCACTTTGAGGAATATGGTCTGGGAGTCAGTGGTTTTTACTCCAATAACCGTTGTATAGTAGGGAGATGAAGTTGAGTATTTGTTGCTGAATGAGGCAATCCTCATGATTCCACTTTCACCAACCTCTAATTTCAATTTTTGCGCCAATTTTTTTGAGACAAACGATGTTTGCGCACCAGTATCGAAGAGTACTATAGCTTCGCTTTGAATCTCCTGATTAACTGGATTGATAACATTGACTTTTCTGCATAGAAGTAAAACTTCTTTTTCCCTTTGATCCGTTTGGTTTTTGTTTGTAATATTGACGTTCACGGACTTGGCTTCTTCTTTATTTGATTCGTTGTGCCCTTGATACTTCTCTTCGCATAGTGCTGTGTTGTGAGGGCCTTTGCGGTAAAAACAGGAACGTTTTCTGCTTTTACAATCCTTCGCCTTGTGACTATTATCAAAACAGTTCAAACAGGCCTTTAATTCCTTCAAACGTTTCGTCCTTTGTTTTACTGTTGAGTAAACCTGACACTCATTATCCCAATGATCTTTATTACAAAATGTGCAGGGTCTTTTTGTTTTAATCCCTTTCGCCTTTGATTTGGGAATTGACACCGATAATGCTGAAGTTTCATTAGGGATAAATCGTGAAAATGGTTTTGACTTACTCTTTACTGGTTCTTGATTTTTTGTCATATTCAGGGATTGGATCCTCATTACTTCTTCACTTCTGAGCACTAGTTTCCCGAGAAATTGTCTCAGCTTATTTACTGACCATGATTCCTGTTCCTTTTGTTGATAAATCCTTTCAAGAA